TCGTGGGCAATCAGGCTCTCCACAACTTCCTACCATTTGTTACTTTCTTTCTACTTTTTACTATTCTTTCCATACCCTTTTCACCCATCTACACAATCTCATAGGTTACTCGCTGTTACCCTGTGTTCCTCTAACCTCAGTACGTTCTGCAAGTGTCAAATTTTCCAATCTTTCTTTCATCTTTTCAATTGTCACTTTCTGAATTTGTCCTTTTTGTTCACATTTTCTTTAGAATTTCGACGTTGCTTGCCCGCTCCGCCCAAATTCTTCACATCATTTTTTAGTTACACGCTTCTAATTATTTACGTTGAAGAAGTTAAAATATAATCGCGAGGGATAACGACAGATTTCTCTTTTGGATTAAATACAGTTTCTGTCAGGAATTGTCATAACGGTGGGAATTTTTCAGCTTACAAAACGATCCTGCCGATTCAAGCAAATGTGAGAGTATACATTTTTCTGAGTCGCCATGTTTGCCGGAAATAAATAAATGTGTCACGGGTAAAATAAATAAAAAAAAAAAAATAATAATCGAGTCGTACAAAATAAGAAACTTCGGGTCGATGGTGGTTTCTGAATTTAATCATCTAACCGTGGAGATATGTGTATTTGGTATGCAAGAGCTTTTGGTTTTCATTTCACCCCAAGCAATGCAATAAAGCCACTAAGACGAAATCTGTTACTGAGTGCGAGAGATTTATTAGAAAAAGAAAAACACCGTTAAGGAGAGAGAACAATAAAAGAACTGGAATTAAGAAGAAGGAAGATGACGGCTGACTTAAATTTTTGAAGATCAAATTTAACAGGAGAGCATGAAGCAAGGAGAGAGTTCCACAAGCGAGAAGTGCGAGAGAAAAAACTGTTAAAAAAATATATGCATTTATCTTTCTCTGCAGAACGTGACTACCCTGTTTCTTCTCATTTGTCACTGTAATTCCGTCGATAAATGACCCCAATCCTCTTAACAATGATTGACGTCATACTGGGAAAAGAGAGTTTAGCAGGAAAAGGAGCCTTACTTCATTCCAGTTACAGGATCGGTAAGGCTTATTAACCGCAACATCACTTGGAAGAAAATCCCTGAAGGAAAAAAAGAGAAAAAAGAAAATTTTCACTTTGAGGTGAGCATTTATATATTTCCCAGTTTGGCATCAATCCCTATTTTATGTATTTACCCATATCCTCTTGAGATAAGGAATGAGCAGACTGAATCCCATTTTAATGCAAAGATTGTTTTTAACCACAAACGTCAAGAAATATATTGACTCTCCTCTTTAAACCCTAAGCGGAGGTGCTTCTCATCCGTGGTACACTGTTGAATCGTTTTCAGACACCTGCGGTAAACCAATATATGCGCTGATAATTTAAAATTTATTTTAACCAAGGAGTGTTCATGTTCTGCCATCTATTAACAAGGTTGGTAGGTATGATACTTACTGTTTTTTCTGCACCTCTTCACTTCAATATGTCATGTAAGTGTCAAATTCTCCAACCATCTTTCCTCATTATGTGTACCAAAAATTTCAGCCGTCTCTTTCTAAGACTAAGCAAAAGTGTCTTATTCGTTCCCATTTTTTAAAACTTTCTCATTGCTTCTATATTTAGTCTGTGGTATTCCCAGCATCTTTCTATAAACCACTTCTATGTTGCTTCGCGTCTCCTCTTCATCTGTGAGAAAATTGTCCAGCATTCACTGCTATATAGGAGGATTGATATTGCATAGCAATTGGTTTGGTTTGGTTTGTTTTACGGCATATCAACCTCAATGGGTCATTTAATGCCGACAACTTTTTTTTTTCCTGGTAATATTTTTGTTTTGTCAAAAATCTATTTCTGTTAATATTGTTTTTCTGAAACATGTATAGCTGGTAATATTATTGTTTCAAAATCGTATAGCTGGTAATATTTTTTTTCAAAATCGTATAGCTGGTAATAATATTTTTTTCAAAAACGTATAGCTGGTAATATTTTTTTTTCAAAAACGTACAGCTGGCAACATTATTTTTTCAAAATCGTATTATCAGAGGCCTCGCTGTTGTACGTAGTTTATCATCATACCCAGGACGCGGATGTAGTTTATCGTCATACCCAGGACGCGAATGTAATCTGAGTGTTAACTAATTGCCTATAGCTGGGACCCTAATACCAGCAATTAAGAGGTGATTCCACACTCCTCAAAACCTCCTGATCAGAGGCCTTGCTGTTGGACGTAGTTTATCGTCTTACCCAGGATGCGGATGCAGTCATAGCAATTGAACACACTTATGCTTGTTTCCCGTGAAATTTTAAGCAATAAAAATTATGCCGGATAAAATACTTATAGGTAGAAAAGGAAGAATATGCAGTTTAAATTACTTATAGGTAGCCAATAAACGATAAGGCGTATGAGTAAATTCCATAAGAACGACTATAGATAAAATCCTATCTGTCCATTTGAGTTTCTTTGTTTGAAATAGTAATAATAGTTTGGAATACGGGGATGAGAGTTCGAGTATCATAGCAATTTTAAGGATTTCATTCATTTTACTTGATATGAATCTTTAAGCTTTTTTTATCTTATTAAGCTGTCATGATATAACAAAGTCCAATTATTCTGATGGTTTCTTGTATTCAAATGGGTAAGTCACACTTGGACTAGAAGTCGTTTCCTTTGAATGAAAAGTAGAATACTGTCGGGATCTACATGTTATTTTTTTTATCTTTTGGCCTATAGGTATTAATTCCTTGTTAAAATAAATAAATAAACAAGGTCTCAACTCAAGCACGTGTACCCACTAAACAATAATAAATATTTAATAAGAAATAATGTTGATTTAAAAAAAAAATCTACTACTAATATATATATTTATAGCGTTTGGATGGCAGACAGTCTAGGACTGACAACTCACCAAAACCGTGAAGAAGGTAACAGGAAAACAATCCACTACACTTTGAAAAGACAACAAAAACATAGCAATGCGCAGGTTAGTTATTAAAGGAAAGGAAGCTGTGAAGAGTCGTGATTGTATATATCTGAAAGGAACATGATCTTTAAAATAACTGTTTTATATTTAACTTTGTAATGTTATTTTTATCTGTCTTTCGTTCAGAAACCTATAAAAATAAACCTATGTGATTACGTGTGTGTAGTGTATTATCATGTCTGTGTACGTATATAAGTGTACCTGCCAGTGTAAAAACGTATTGAGATTAGATGAACGTCTATGTAGAGACGTTTATCCTCCTAACTGTCTCTAGACGCCTTCATTCTTCTGTTCCAAGTTAGATGCTAGCCGTAGGGAAACACGCATGTTCCGGTCCAGACTCTTGACTAAACGAGAGAGACAAATCAAGGAAAGGCTCCTTCTTTCCAAACATTGTCGTCAGACATGGAACAATAAAAGGCAAAAAATAGGTCAAAAGTTTGCTCTTTTTTCGTCACTATCAGACGACATCTTCTGGAACTTACTTGCTTAATATTTTCCGGATTTCAAAGATGAAGTTTTATGACATAGATGTTTTTTTTTTGGTACAATGACTTTTCAAAATTACCGGGATATATTTTTAGAGTTATTCTGGTAGTGTTTGCAACTAAGAGTTTATTAGTAGAACACGAAGGTTTGTCAAATAGTACCTGAAAAAACACAATCTTGAAACAAAATGAAAAAAAAAAAGAGAAATGAAAAAATCTATTTTACATCACTGAAAGAGTAAAATAAACACAGTAAAACAATAGAGGAACCGGCTATGGGTCTATTTTACAACATGTTAACCTTTGTTGGATTATTAAATATGGATTTATGCATGAGATACACAGTGAGGATTGAAGTCCCTACAAACAGTCGACAAGATTAACCACGCCAACCATTATCCGACGCCGGGGCATCTATTTAGTTAAGGTAGTTGATTTTACGATATATCAGCGCTTGTTGAGTTATTTAATGTCGTATTTAGCATTAGAATACCATGTAGGAAGGTACTCACCACTCAGTAATAATTATCAGCCAGAATAGCATCGCTCACCGTTACAGAAATTCGAACACTGCAACAAGAGATAACTATCAAGACAAATGGGATTCTTTAGACTTATAAAGGAAATTTCTCTGTAAAACTCTATTTCCCCCTTTCCCTCTTCTTCTTTCCTTGTTCTTTTTCTTCTTTCTATTCCTTGTCTTCTTTCTTTTTATTTTTCTTCTTTTTTCTTCTTTCTCTTCATATTTTCTTCTTTTTCTCCTTCTTCCTCATTTTCTTCTTTTTCCATTTCTTCTTCTTCCTTTGTTTCTTATTCTAATTCATTCTCTTCTTCCTTTTCTTCTTCTTTCGCGTTTCTTTTTTCTACTTTTTCCATTTCTTTGTTATTTTTTCTTTTTTTCCTACTTTCTCTTCTTTTTCTTCCTTATCTTCCTTTCATTCTTCTTTCTCTTCTTTCTTTGTGTCTTCTTCTTTTTTTTACTTTTCTTTTTATTTCTCGTTTGTTTTTCTTCTACTTTTTCCTTTTCTTCTTTGTTATTTTCTTCTTTCTCTACTTTCACCTCCGTTTCTTTTTATCTTTCTTTTCGCTTTCTTTTTTCTACTTTCTCTTCCTTACCTCATCCTCCTCCTCCTTTTTCTTCTTCTTCTTCTACTACTACTACTACTACTACTACTACTACTTACATTATCCTCTCTATTCTTTCTTCTCCAACGGAAAGTGATTGTAATTATTGCAAACAAAAGCGATAACTAAACAAACACCAAATCAATATGGAGTAGAAGGTGATGTAAAATAAATTTCCAGATTTCACTCGACATTGCTTTCTCTTTAACATTATATATTTAACTTCAAATGCCGGCAAGCAGTTTTATTAAAGCAGTTAGTGTATCAAATACATGAGTAGCGACCGTGGATATGCGTGTGTGTAAGGAATTCCATTAAACTAAACAATGCCAACGTAGCTGAATATTGCTATACTCTTAAATCTGTTTATTTGAGCCGAGCTTTAGGCCATTAAGATTTAATTATTCTTTTCTGTCGACAAGATTTAGTTTTTGGTTATCCAAGAGACGCACAAATGTTGGGTCACTCGGAGGAAAGAAACGTGACGTGATTGCCTAAGGATGTTGAAATTGACGTTTGGGGATGGGTGAATATCTGTTGGTTGTTGGGGAGACGTAACGAAATCGTATCGGAAGGAACGGCATGAGACATTGTGCGGATACGAAGAGATAAGAAGGTGATTTTGAAAAGATGAAGTAAAATTTAGAAAGAACAAAAGGAAAGGAGAAGAAAAAAATGGGTGGAGGTGTGGGGAGGGAGAAATGGAAGAGAAAGAAGAGGTGAAGAAGCAAAAGAAAAAAAAAAGAAGAGTATATGAAGGAGTTGGAGAAAGAAACGATGAGGCAATAATTGTGAAGGAAAAAAAGGATGGACGAGGAAAATAAAAGGAAGAGAAGAGGAAGAGGAAAAGGAGAAAAACAATTGTGATGGCAATATTTAAGGAATTTTGCAAATGCATTGGTTAATTTTTTCTGTCTGAGTAATCTGTGATTTTTTATCGATTGTTTTAATCGTTTCATCCCAAACAAGGCGATAAAGTCACTAAGACACTGTGTGTTACAGGGAGTGAAAGAGAAAGAGAAGAGTAGGGGTGAAGAAAGGACAATAAAGGAACAGGGTTCAAGGAAACAGAAAATGGTGACTGACGCTGCATTTAATTTTTTGAAAATTCTGCGTTAGTAATACAAGAGTCACTCAAAAAGTAATGCCTGGTGATATTAGCCCTTTCCTTATAAGGAAACATTCGGCATTCATCGGCATTCGTTTTGGAAGGGAAGCAAGAAATCGGGAAGGAGTTCTACAGGTGAGAAATACGAGAAAAGAAATTGTTCGCATAGAAGACACGCTTACATCTAGCTAGTTCAACAGCATCCATTGTTGCAAGTAAGAAAAAATTCTGTCTTTTAAATTATTAAAAGTAAAAAAAAAATTATAAAATTAAATTTAATGTATTTTCAGAGTGATTTCCTATGTACACTGATGATTGTTATGCTAATGTGGGTTATGTTCGCTTTGAGTAGCGCCTTTTGATATCGTAACTGTTTCTTTAATAATAAGGAGAGATCCAGCTGCTTTAGTAGCAAATATGCAAGAGTCAGACAAGTAATGCCTAATGATTATAGCCCTTTCCTTATAAGGAAACATTCGGCATTAATTGACCGAGTATCCAGTGTGATTAAAGTTACGCCTCACTCCTCATTGCTTGAATATCGAGCTTAAATCAGAGTGTATTATCTGTTCTCATCTCTAATGATAATATATTTAACTTCAAATGCCGGCAACCAGTTTTATTAAAGCAGCTAGTGTATCAAATACATGAGTAGCGACCGTGGATATACGTGTGTGTAAGAAATTCTATTAAACTAAACAATGCCAACGTAGCTGAATATTGCTATACTGTAAATCTGTTTATTCTAGCCGAGCTGTAGGCTATTAAGATTTAATTATTCTTTTCTGTCGACAAGATTTGGTTTTTGGTTAACCAAGAGACGCACAAATGTTGGGTCACTCGGAGGAAAGAAACGTGACGTGATTGCCTAACCGTTTCCTGATAAGGAAACAGTCGGTTTCATTAGTCAAGCAGCCAGTCCTATTCGAATTACGCTTTTCTTCACTCTCTGGTTATCGGGAAGCGATCAAAGTGTAGTATCTGATCTCATCATCTCTAACAGTAATGGTACTATTAGCTATTTCCTTAAAATAAATAAATAAAAAAAAACACTCGGCATTCATTGTCTGAACAACCAGTAATACTGTCCTTTAAAATCTATAAAACCTTTCTACAAAAACAATTCTTCGAGAAAATAGGCTTCTCTTCACAAAATTTCCAGTATTTCCTAACCTTTTATTTGAAATCGTGTGAACATCAACATCTCTATTATGCCATTATGTTCTCTTCGAGTTACATGTGACATTCATTTTAATTCGTAATTATGCGGGGGTTCCCCAAGACTTTATTCTTAAACCTGGGATGTTTCTTACCTTCATCATCGATAGCATCATCAGTTCCCAATTCGGTATTTATACTGATGGCACAACTATTTGCTCTTTATAATAAGTATGATAGGTCTGACAAAGTAAATCTGATTGCTGCTCTCGAAAATGATCCAATCAGTTGTTAACTGGGGCAAGAAATGGCTTGTAACTTATAACGCCTCCAGAACAAAACTGTTATCTTATAATCATCATAGAGAACCATTTTTGCCTTCAGTCAACATGGCTAATGCAAACTTCCAAGAGAGCAAATCGTTTCACCTCCTAGGGAGCAAATCGTTTTCACCTCCTAGGGAGCAAATCGTTTTCACCTCCTAGGGAGCAAATCGTTTCACCTCCTAGGGAGCAAATCGTTTCACCTCCTAGGGAGCAAATCGTTTCACCTCCTAGGGAGCAAATCGTTTTCACCTCCAAGTGGAGTGATTATGTTGAATCAATTGCTAGGTTTGCTCTCAGTTAAGTTGGTTTACTGTGTTGTGCAAAACAGTCATTATCGCCAGAATTCATCATGCGCACTTATGAGTCTACTATTCGTCATTACACTGAATATTACTGCCTTACAAGGTCTGTGTAAAAAGTACAGGGACTGCTGTCACAAACAATTTATTTCAATTCCAAACAACGACTTATATGATTTTCCCTTCAAAGTAACCCCACTTGAATCTAATATAATTTTTGCTACACTTGTATGTACTGCTGGAAGGATTGTTCTTGGATGCCCGTCAGCTCCACCGTTACAACCTTGTTGAGAGACTCCACGCCTTCAAAGTGGGTCCCTTTGATGGTCCCCTTGAACTTGGAGAAAAAAAAAAAAAGTCACACTGATCAAGATCCAGTGAATAGGGAGCTTGTTCCAATACGGCGATGTTCTTATCGGCCAGGAACTGCCGGATGCTCAGAGTTTTGTGAATAGGTGCATTGTCGTGGTGAAGCAGCCACGATTTGTCCTGCCACAACTATCGTCACTTCTCGCGATCTAAGCGAATCAAACGCCGCAGGTTCCCTTTGCAGACTTGCTAATTGATCGTCTGGCCCCGTGGCAAGAACCCACTGTGGTCGATACCCATAACTCACACGGTACACCCAGTCTCGTTACTTTTCAAACAGACCTCATGGTGGCATTCATAGATCTTTTTCTTTTTCTCTTTGGTTCATAATGGAGAATCCAGATCTGCTCACCTATGACTATCCTGCTTAGAAAGGGGGGCGAGTCGTGTAGTGCAGCTCTTGACGTTCAATGGCAGCAACGGTCATCTACTCTTTTAATGGTGTCTGTTAGCAATCTGGGAATCCACCTTGTGTAACCAACAGACTTCATTTACCATCTTCTCTCCCACAGAATTTTGCAGTAGTTATTCTTCTGCCAACTGTAATGAAAATAAATTTTTTGGTCTTATCTTCATTTGCCGTATCAGCTGGCCCGTGATGCCTGTCACTAATATCAGTTTCTTCTTTCACTCTTGGGTTGATATTAATTTTTATCGACCCATCTCTTTACTTAGTAGACATTTTTATTTTTATTTTTCTATCTATTCATTCAATTTTAACTAGAAACACAGTGATGTCACACTGCATATTCCTACTTATAATCCGCCTTCAAAATGGTTTTCCCTATGAATTCATATTGAAAGCAAAGAAGTATCACAGAATTCATGATTTTCAAAGAAGATTATGGGTAGCGAAAGTGCATGTAATTCCAGAAGTTTTTCCAGAGTTTCTAGACACTTAGCGGATTATACATGGTGCCCAGTAAATAAGTGGAAAATTTATTAATTTATTATCACTGTTTTATCTTTCAGAAATAATTGACCTTGAATAACCTTGAATAAATTTCTTGAATATTTAATGACATTGAATAATCATTTGACTCTCAGGTAATTATTTAACTCTGGTTCTTTTATGATTGATTAATTGCAGTTCGATCTTGTGACTCGTCATTTAAAGGTTATTTGTAGACAACTTTCGTCTTTCGCTCTGACCTTCCCGTATGGCTAAACAACTCACTGATTTTGAGCGTCAAGTTATCGTAATTTTCAAAGAGGAACATCCAATCTGATTGCGGATTGACGAAATGTGCAGAAATTCTTCCTGAATTTTTCAGTCACATTAGTCGTCACCAGTTTTCAACGATTGTCTCACGTCTTTCTGAAAATACTTTTTTACTGGACCGGTTGTAGTTAAAAATGAATGAATGGATAAGTAAAATAAGATAAAATAATAATATAGAATAAAGTAGAGAATTCTAAGTAATACTTTGAAAGTCATATTAGAACAGATCTTGCGTTTTGTTTAACGACACATTGCATTTTTATATTATAGAATAAATGGTGCAAAAGATGATAAATTAAAAAGATTTATTCATTTACATATTCACCTAAACGGAAATCAGACAGATAAGAGTTGGATTTTTCGCATTTTCAAATTTCTTCAAGGTTGGTACACGGTTTCATTAAAGGTCATTCAATAAAATATCAAGTCACTATTAATAATTGAACAAAACCAGCACATTAACTACAGCTGGTAAATTAAAATAAATCATAAAAAAATGATGTGCCAAGCCTCTCTGGTTGCTTGGATAGTTGCGTACAGTACACAAATGTCAAAGATCTTGCACAAGTAAAAACTATAATTTCGAGTGCTGATGTGAAAACTTTCAAAGCAGGCAACTAAAGTATTGGTGAAACACTTGTTTTAGCCTCTTTTGACTTTCGTTGCTACTAAGCCAAGTAAAGACTGCTAAGCACTAAAATAGCAATTCCAAAAGGTCTCTCTTGACCTAACATTTACAACATGTAATATTGATGGAGCACCTCATAAGTAAGGCATTCGCAACTAGAAAGCACTCAAAGAGTACATATCTCCGTCAATACCAATTTCACTAAAGACTGAATTAAAACCAATTCATACAAAGATGAAAAGCAGGGAAAGTAATAAGTTTATCCATATGTTTAGTTTTAATATATTAATATATATATATATATATATATATATTTTCTTTATGTAATGTATCTCTTCAGGACGTAGTGAGCATGACTTTATGAAATGTCCTGTTCTTTGTATCTCTTAATAAATTTGTCTTTTTATTATTTCTCCTAAACTTTGTTCACCTATCCATTTACTTAAGCACACTATATTATGTGTTGTTTTCCCCTGATCCCTATTTGCCTTCAATATGTCCTGTGAGTATCACATTTTCCAAGCCTTCTTTTCTCATTATGTGCCCTAGAAATTTCAACTGTATCTCCTGGTGTTACGTATAAGTGTCCTTTTGGTTTCCATTTTCTCTAAAACTACATCATCGCTCACATGTTTGGTCCATGGTAGCCTCAGCATTCTTCTATTGAAGTACATTTCTGTTGCTTCAAGTCTCTTCCTCTTCTTTGAGGAGATTGTCCAGCATTCACTGATATATAAGAAGGCAGATATCAGAAATACCATCCTATGTAAACTGAAACTCTGTGAATTTTTCTTCCATTCCAAGAGATTAAAACCAGAAAAGTAACTGAAATAAATTATATATTGTACTTCTGATGCATGACTCTTCAAATCCCAAAATGGGTTTAGAATATGAGGCTAGTTAAAGAAATGTAGTGAAGGTAATTTTACTATGCGAAATTTGTTTACACAGTGATAAAATTGACAACCGCCCAAATCTTTTCATTTTTCCCAGCTCTATATTTTTATGTCTTTTAGTTTATTCATTCATGGGAAGAAATATTTTAGTAAAAAATGCTTTTCAGTTAAACTTAATAGTCTTTTTATTTTTATTAAACCGCACACACAAACAAAATGACTGCTTCTCATTTGTTGGTCCCCTTGATATTTTTTTCTCTTTTACCTGTAATTCTATCTGCTTTCTCTAAATTTCTGTTAATACCATGATTTGTCGGGGAATAGCCAATCACAAATTTTCTTTATTATCTGTGACTTTTTAAGAAAGATAATGGAGTGGTTTCCTGTTGATTTCACCACAGTCAAGAATTCAGAGTACTTTTTCTCTTGAACTGGCTGCCATCTGAGAACCTAGTGTGCACTACTATTTAACCCATAGCTTGATTCAGTACTCTTTTATTTATTTCTAACGAAAGCTTGGAACGTATTTTAATCCTCAAAGATTATTGTGTATCCACACCAAAAGTTATTTCCTGACTCATCACCCGCCCATCCATAAAATTTCATTGAAATTCATAAAAATAGGTATCTTCACGAATTGGGTATGCGTAAGGTTTAAAAAAAATTTTTTTTAAAATAACAAACTTGCCTGAAGCTCTCAATTTACCTTTAACTGAGAGCTAAATTATTAAATTTACTATACTCGGTAAGCAAAATACTTTGGTTTATTTCAGACAGCAATTATATTGATTGGAATAGACTTTCATATTTTTTTTTAACGTCAGTCATTTTTTAGATATTTGTAAACAAAACTTAATTTTCCGCTTTAAAAATCTTGCAAAAATAGAATATATATTTCTGAAACATTATTTGAGGAAAATTACCAAATTTAAAGTTAAGTTAATATTACTTACTTATAGCATAAAATGTTGTATAGAAGCATTTCCTTACGACGAGGTCTTGTTTTTCTCAAGTGTTAATCGATTTATTGACGGCGGATTGACCGCTGAATGTGTTCCTAATTAAATATGGTGTAGTATACGACAAAGTTCATTAGGGTTTTCTTTTTCCCGTAAGTGTGGATAAATCTTAAAACACGTGACATTTTAAGAATAAATTTATCATTTTGTACATCCATACTTCTGAAATTCTGCATCTATATACATACATAAAAAGAAATCAAAATTCTTTCAAAAATAGTCGGGGTCTTCAGATTGTAATAAGATTTAAAATATATGATTAGTAAATATAGTTTTACTTAATAACAATATTCACTAAGAATATTAAAAGATTGAGAAACGTTATAAAATTATTCAGTTTTAAATTGTAAAAAGTAAGAACAAATTTTCTAAAAATTGTCTTTAATAGATATTATTAATAAAATCAATTAAAAGGTTCTCTAATTAAATAATGTCTTAGTTTTATTGCGTTTTTTAATTTTCGATTCAGAACAGATTTTCTGTAAGACCGGGTCCGATTTTGCAAAGAAAATTCGGTGATTTAAATTCTTCAAAAAATTCTGCTTTTAACTAATATTGTCACTAAGAATTACCTCGATGAATTTATCATAAAATTAAGTAAGGGGAAGCAATACATGTAAAAAAAAAATATATTTTTTACCAAAATTTCCTAATAAAAATTTGTTTAAAAATAATTTCATTCGGTTTTGAATAAGTTCTGAAAATTTCATTAAAATCTCATAATTGTTTGATTTTTGCAAGAATTTCCAAATTAATGTGTCTGCCACCACAAAAAGAAAATGAAAACTTGCTATGCTAAAAGTTAGTACAACTGCAGATGCAAGAAAAACAAGTTTTTTTTTAAATCAAAATTTCGAATGTTTTTAAAAAAGTAAAAAATATAATTAAATAATAATAAAAAAATACTTTGATCTTTCCTCTTAATAATATAATGATTTTGACGATAAAACTATGATTTTCATTACGTTTGGAGCATGTTTCATCATGGTACGCCGATTTTTCGTGGAGGTACCACCATAAAAACCCCTTAATATATTGTATGGAAAAATAAGCATATATATATATATATATATATATATATATATATATATATATATATATATATATATATATATATATATAACGGTTATCTAACGCCATTGTCTGAAATAACAAACTTCGTAGATTCAACTTCTGAAGAAAATATTGATTATAAGATTAATTCGATCGTTTTCCCAATGTTACTCCACTGAACACGCTAAATATTTTTACCTTAGTGTTTCTTGTTTTTTGTAGCTTTAATCTTACCCTACATCTTCTGATTATCGTATTATATTATTGACTAATTTTTTAAAAATTGTTAATGGATTAAATTTTTTTAAAAATAACGAACGAATTTATCTGACAACCCGATAGAATTTACAAACGTTTTTTTTCTGTTTTGTTTTTCTGAATTTTACCAAGAATGGCGTGTGCGCACCTGCACGATGTCTGTTTGTATTTCTACATTGTTATTTGTTTTGCTTCTACGTTTATTGTTATCGAAACAGTTGAGTATGTGTTTTCTTTCTTCAGAGAGATTTTGTTTTGTCAATCTCCTACGTAACCAAAAAGAAAAAAGCGTTTGTTTATTTGGTCTGATTTATTTTCTGTTCAGTTGTTTTGAATCTTAATTTATGTGAACTGATTTCACACTTTCATTTACAAAATATATTTGTTCGAAATAAAGAAAGAAAAAAGAAGGAAAAAGAAACAGAACAATAAAAGAAGTAAAATAAAAGGCATGAGTTGGAGAGGAAATGTCAGGGAAAAAGGACATGAAGAATGAATGAAGGAATAAAAAATGTAGAAATAAGACAAAAAGCAATGTGATAAAAAACGTTGTAAGAAGAATGGTCATGACGAAGAAGAGGAAGGAAGGAAGGAAGGAAGGAAGGAAGGAAGGAAGGAAGGAAGGAAGGAAGGGAGGGAGGAAGGAAGGGAGGAAGGAAGGAAGGGAGGAAGGAAGGAAGGAAGGGAGGAAGGAAAGAAGGAAGGAAGGAAGGAAGGAAGGAAGGAAGGAAGGAAGGAAGGAAGGGCGAAATGAAGAAAATGAAAGTAGAAGTTAGACGAAATGAGAAAGTGATAAAAATAAAAGAAGGAATTAAATAATGAAGCAATGAAGAAAGAAAGAAAGAAAGAGATGAAAGTAGAAGACGAGAAGAGAAAGTGATCAGAAAAGTTGTAAGAAGAATGGTCATGAAGAATATAAATGAATGAATGAAAAAGAAAGAAGAGAATAAAAGTAGACGAGAACTGAAAGTGATAAAAAAGATTGTAAAATGAACGTTCATAAAGAAGAAATAATGAAGGATAGCCATGAAGAAGAAGTGAATTAATGAATGAAGTAAAGAAAGAAAGAAGGAATGTAGAAGACAAGAACGGAAAGCGATAAAAAGATTGTAAGCTCACGAAGAATGAATGAATGAATGAATGTATCAAGGAAGGAAGGAAGGAAGGAAAGGAAGGAAGGAAGGAAGGAAAGCAGACTTAAAACAATGCAGGAAAGTGATAAAAAAAAGGTTGTAAGAAGAGAGAGAAGTGAGAAAATAAAGAGGAGAAGCAAGAAGATGTCTATGAGAACGATGGAAAATAAGAGGAAAAAATATAGGAAAATTAGAAAACAAAAAAAAACAAGGCTAAAAGACCACAAGTAATGGAGGTGGGGAGGTGGGTGTATTAAGATTGACGAAAAAAAAATAGATGACAAGAAATAATATTTTATAAATATCGGATTTTGTTCGCATCTCTCTTTCTTTTAATCATTTCGCTCCAGGGAAGGTGATAATGCCACTGCGACGCAAGGGGTTACAAGGAGTGAAAGAGAATGAGATTTTAGTGAAGAGGAAAATGACTATAAAGGAACATGATTCAGGAAGACAGAAGATAGTGATGGGCTTTGCATTTAAATTTGAACTCATCGCCACTGTTCATTTTTTTTCCTTTTCTAATCTTTCTTGTGCGGTTAGTGTAACTGATATCACCGTGGATCATGAAACTGAAGAACAGAGTTCAAATTCCGGCTTAGTCTTCCACCATTCATTTTCGAACAAATGTCCTTGGAAAAGGCATGAATCCATCCTTTCTTCGTCCAGCTCTGAGTAGACTGGATTCTCTATGGACGAAATGCCTTGGGTGGCAACCTGTCTAAATGAAAGAAAACTCAGAATTCAAAACCGTAGAGAAGGCAAGGGGGAAATCACTCCACTACTTTCCTAAGCAGTCATGACAATTCAGAGATAAAAAAAAAAAGGAATCTATAGTGCAGGCAATAGTAAATCACTCCGCTATCTTTCCCAAGAAGTAATGGAAAATCTTCTCTTTTTTTAAATTTATAAACAAAACATATCTATGGTGAGCCATGATCTCCTATGTCCTGAAAACGAACATGGTATTAAAATAAATTTCCTGGGCTTGTTTTTGCTTAGTTTTACTCTAGGTGGGACAGTTGTATTACTGAATGACGTCACACCTTTACGACGTCATTCAGTCTGAGTTTATAAACAGTTTTTCCTCCCTGTGGTTGATTTGAGGGGAAGTATTCAGCATTATTGAAATTATATGAGTGTACAATTTGGCAAATATTAAGACGTTGCTCCAGGTTATTCAGGTTATCAATAATGGCTTTTGTTCATCAGAAATAGCACGTTATTGTCTTCCAGCTGATACTGCATAGGAAGAAATAAAATTAGTCAGAAATAGACAACAATGGAAAAAAATCTTGCTCAGTAGCTGAAGTAGTTACGCATATTCTACCGGTGCCACAAGCTCGTGTAAAATCCCTGATTTCGACGGCTAGATTCTAAGCCATTCCCCACAAACGAAGAAGATTGACACAACGATCTCTGAACGAGGCTCTATACCTTTGAACAAGTGGAAGTCAGATATACAAACCATTGTTTAAGATGCTAGGAAAATCGTTGCTTCCTTTTATTGCTCCAGGAAGTATCTGGCTCCTTCTGTCATGCTTCATTATTGCAAGAGCCAGATTTGGTCAGAAATTGAGTATTGCTATTGCAGCTAGTCAGTCCTCGCTTTCCAGCCTGAAGGTTTAAAATCGTTCATGCAAGTTTATGGAGGACGAAATATGTTACACCCTGCAAACTCATTCCTATAGACGTGATATTGCATGCTTGTCGCTACTCTATTATCATTCCCATGGCAAATGTTTACAGCAAGGACAAACCATGCTAAATCCATGGAGTTGACATATTAATTTCCTCCGTATTCCAAACTAGCAGTAGAGCCCGGCGTTGCCCGGGGATATAACAGTAAGAGATAGATCAAGTATCCACCATCATAAAGACAGAAAAATAAAATTGACAAAGATTATTGTTTAAGGTTGAGGGACACGCATGTCTTAATTAGGTTTTTTTTTTTTACGAATTGGTCAAACCCAAACTCAAACAAAAACATTGTTTTCAATCGTTATGAGTCTCCCGATTGAGACAATAAGCAAGACAATATGAAACACTACATGCCAAAAAAAAGTGAAGTTTTGTTGAAATCGGTTGAAAAATGTAAGTAGCCTTTCTGTAATCTTTTAGTTTTACAATTTATGATTTTTACTTATTGAATACAGTAAAAAAAAATTGAATATTTTGCTTGTGGTGATTCATAATTAGAATTCTGATTTGAATATATTTTCCACTCGTTGTTTCTAATACAAAAAATATTAACTTTATTTGGGTTTATTAATTATGATCTAACAAATCTTATTCATTTAGTAGCCTTTCTGTAATAATAATCTTTTACAATTTATGATTTTTACTTATTGAATACAGTAAAAAAATTAGACACCATGTGTATTTAAAGTAGTTTCCCGTTCCGGTTATTATTTTTAGTTAGGACTTGTGTATGTTTAGATTTCATTATCTTTCCCTAAAGATAAAGAATTTATCCGATGTTTGTATTCGTACAATCAGTAGAGATCGTTAGATTATTGTTTAAGGTTGACGGACACGCATGTCTTAATTATTTTTTTTTTTTTTTTACGAATTGGTCAAACCCAAACTCAAACAAAAACATTGTTTTCAATCGTTATGAGTCTCCCAATTGAATAGAATTTTATTATAAATAATTGTCTTGTAAATGGAATTTTTAAAGCATTCTGAATGTTAAAAATAAAGAAAAAAGTGTGCAAGAGAATAAGAAACACTACCTGCCAAAAAAAAAAAAAGTGAAGTTTTGTTTTATCGGCTGAAAAATATAGGAAATCCGATGTGAGTTGTCCCCCTTTCATTTTCACGATGTCTCTTAATCGTGTTTTTAAATTGATTTTGCGCAAAAACAATTATATTTTCCCCATTTTTGGCGCTTTTAGAACCACCACAAGGTAATTTTATGTAGTCCAGTGAAGTTTTGTTGAAATCGGTTGAAAAATGTAGGAAATCCTATCCAATATATAGACGTTACAGACACACACACACACACACTGCGTTTTATAATAAGTAAGATGTAAGGAGAACTGATATATATATACAGGGTGCGATGGGTAAACTGTCGACATTATATATATATATATATATATATATATATATATATATATATATATTATATATATATGTATATATATATATATATATATATATATATATATATATATATATATATATACCCAAGTATAGGATTGATGTATACGGAATAAATTACAATAACCAACAAATACTATTTTTGAAAGAGTGCTCGATACAGAGTAGAGCAAATATAATTATCTATTCAAAAATTATAGCATAAATATGTTATAAAATCACTACAAAAATACCCATTTTGTTTCAACACTTCTGGTGTCTTATCAAGTGATTGTGTTCAACACACACACACACACACATATATATTTAATTTTGCGCATACGCGTTCTTTCCTTTTAATTTTGTCGACTGCACAGTATAGTAGGGTCAGTTGTGCACCATATTTGAGAAAAAGAGTACAATAACACATTTCTCTCCGCCAGAAATTTGGAAACGGCATGCCGTACTGCTAGGCGTTTTCACCGGAAGCTCCAATACGAACATTTGAGAGTGTCTGGATGTCAATCTGAGAGGAGTGCAGAAGATTTGGAAAGAGTTGCATGAATCAAATTACGAAGGTACAGCATCTCGGAAAACTCTGATACTTCTGATAAGAAAAGAACTACTGAATTTGTTGTTGACGTCCTCTGATTTAACAAGGACGCCTACATAAAGGGATTTGGGGAGGTAGTATTGCCCTTGGTCAAGATGGTGGCTGTTGGAAGACCCTATGTTTGATAACAAGACTCTGTACCACATCATAAAAGGAGATCTCAGTCATGGCTATCAGACAATTTCTGCGACCACATCACTCCTTACATCTGACCACCTAACTCTTCAGCCTGCAACACCCTTGATTATTATGTGTGGGGCGCAGTTGAGCAAGAGACTAACAAAACTTCTTGTAACACCAAAGATGACCTGAAGGCAAGGATTATGGAAGCATTCATCAACTTAAATAAGGAGACCGTCCAGAAGAGATGCAGTAGATGTGTGTGTGTGTCTCTCTCTGTGTGTGTGTGTGTGTGTGTGTGTGTGTGTGTGTGTGTGTGTGGCTCTTAATAGCTTTTGGCATTTTGCTATCTTTCCTAATCTCTGTTCTGCTATTTCCACAAGCACGTCAATCAGTATTCTTGTGTCCCCCTTAACTGTCCTGTGAATGCTAAATTTTCTAAACCCTCTTTCCTCATTATGTACGCTAGAAATTTCAGATATCTTTTTCTAATTCTAAGTATAAGTGTCATTCTCAGAATCCTTCGGTAGAATCACATTTCTGCTGCCTCAAATCTCTCCTTTATCTATGAGTAAATTGTCCAGCATTCACTACGATATAGGATTGCCGATATTACATAACAGTCCAGTACTATTTTCCAACAGATTTTGCTTATGTTTCTTAATACTTTGCTTAGCTTTTTGAAGCCATCCTTCGTTATTCTGACGCGCCTTTGGATTTCGGTGTCTAATTTTTCATCTTCTGTTAAAACACTTCTTAAATATTTAAATTGTTTTACTTGTTGGATTATGGTGTCTCCAATTCGAGTTCTAATCTTGAGTTTCACCTTTTGCCAACAACCAAACATTCTGTCTTCTTACAGTTGATGGTTATTCCATTCTCGCTTTCCTTTAATTGACCTCTTCCTATGGCTGACAACCATACATTCTGTCTTCTTACAATTGATGTTTAGTCCTTTCTTCTTTTCTTTTACTTGGCCTCCTTCCTCTTGATTTACAACCCCATACATTCTGTCTTCTTTACAATTGATGTTATTCCTTTTTCTCCCTTTCCCTTTACTTGGCCTCTTCTTCTTGCTGACAACCATACATTCTGTCTTCTTACAATTGATGTTTAGTCCTTTCTTCTTCTGCCTTTCTTTTACTTGGCCTCTTCCTCTTGCTGACAACCATTTCTGTCTTTTTTACAATTGATGTTTAGTCCTTTCTTCTCTCTTCCTTTACTTGCCTCTTCTTCTCTCGCTGACAACCATACATTCTGTCTTCTTACAATTGATGTTTAGTCCTTTCTTCTCACTTTCCTTTTTACTTGTCCTTTCTCTTGCTGACAACCATACATTCTGTCTTCTTTACAATTGATGTTTAGTCCTTTCTTCTCCCTTTCCTTTACTTGGCCTCTTCCTCTTGCTGACAACCATACATTCTGTCTTCTTACAATTGATGTTTAGTCCTTTCTTCTCACTTTCCTTTACTTGGCCTCTTCCTTTGCTGACAACCCTTTTTGTCTTCTTACAATTGAGGTTTAGTCCTTTCTTCTCCCTTTCCTTTACTTGGCCTCTTCCTCTTGCTGACAACCATACATTCTGTCTTCTTACAATTGATGTTTAGTCCTTTCTTCTCACTTTCCTTTACTTGTCCTTTCCTCTTGCTGACAACCATACATTCTGTCTTCTTACAATTGATGTTTAGTCCTTTCTTCTCCCTTTCCTTTACTTGGCCTCTTCCTCTTACTGACAACCATACATTCTGTCTTCTTACAATTGATGTTTAGTCCTTTCTTCTCACTTTCCTTTACTTGGCCACTTCCTCTTACTGACAACCATACATTCTGTCTTCTTACAATTGAGGTTTAGTCCTTTCTTCTCCCTTTCCTTTACTTGGCCTCTTCTCTTGCCAAACATACATTTTACAATTGATGTTTAGTCCTTTCTTCTCACTTTCCTTTACTTGTCCTTTCCTCTTGCTGACAACCATACATTCTGTCTTCTTACAATTGATGTTTAGTCCTTTCTTCCCTTTCCTTTACCCTTTCCTCTTGACAACCATACATTCTGTCTTCTTCAATTGCCTTTCTTCTCCCCTTTCCTTTACTTGGCCTCTTCCTCTTGCTGACAACCATACATTCTGTCTTCTTCCAATTGATGTTTAGTCCTTTCTTCTCACTTTCATTTACTGTCTTCCTCTTGCTGACAATTTTGATTGATGTTTAGTCCTTTCTTCTTCTTCCTTTACTTTCTTCCTCTTACTTTCTGTCTTCTTGATGTTTAGTCCTTTCTTCTCACTTTCCTTTACTTGGCCACTTCCTCTTACTGACAACCATATACATTCTGTCTTCTTACAATTGAGGTTTTAGTCCTTTCTTCTCACTTTCATTTACTTGGCCTCTTCCTCTTTTGCTGACAACCATACATTCTGTCTTCTTTACAATTGATGTTTAGTCCTTTCTTCTCACTTTCCTTTACTTGTCCTTTCCTCTTGCTGACAACCATACATTCTGTCTTCTTACA